TTTGGAGATTTGATAGTTATACAGGGAAGTATGTAAACTACACATGGAAGACACTTTGATTAGCAAACATTTGAGTATTTTGTGCATTAGCACAAAATATGGGGACCACAAAGAAGAATAAGACATTCCTTGTTTTTAGCCGGCAGTGGTAGCATGGCATGTGAGAAAAGAGAATTGTTATATCTGAAGATGTGTAAGGATCACTTCAGGATGGATGTTCAGAAACCGTTTTTTTGAGGAAAAGAATTGGAATTATGGCTTGAAAAATAAAAATTGAGTCATTAAGAAAGATACTTAATTTTATAAATGAAAGGAATATTATAAATAACCAAGTAAGATATGTTAAGATGTAATTTAGAATGGTTGTCTGGAATAGATTTTGAAAAGTGGATGACAAGCTGAAAAGTGTAAGTTGAGGTGGATTGTTGATGGCCTCGTATTACCTTGTAAGCGTAAAAAGAATAGTTAACATGGTGGGATTTTCATAAATTATACTTCAGAAACAAGGGAAAAGGTTTGATTGCCAGTAGTAGTATTTCAGGTGTGAAGTTGAATAGGTTGGGGGATAACTACTTTTATCATTGAAATCATAATGAAAATTTATAGGGGTTAAGGTAGTAGAAAATTAGTGAAAGAAAAATGTGTATAAGACTTGGAGTTTTGTGACTGATAGAAGGATTAGGGCTGGAGAGTGCTGGAAAATTTAATAAATATGTTGGGAGTGTACCCCAGGTTGCATTGAAAAAATGATATTAATGGAAATATGAGTTATGTGAAGAAAAACTGATTTCTTTTAGCTCATCTTTATGTTTATTATGATGTAGTGTTGGAGATCTATGTGGAAATGGCCAGCCAGCAATTGAATATAGAATACTTAGAAGGGCTAGGAATGGAAAGAGATGTTGAAATCTTCCATGTAGAACGCTGTTTACCTCATGGAGATAGAGCAGTGTAGAGGGCTTACAGCTAAACTTTTAAAATATAGTCCTATTTAGCAAATGGAGAAGAGATCATAATCTTTAAAGAGTGTGTTAGAAAGATACCATGCTAATATTATGTCAGAGGCCTAAGGAGGAGAACAGATTACAAGGAAGACTCATGAATAATATTACAGCCCTCAGTGAAATCAGAATATGGGTAAGCAGAATGCTGTTAAATTTGAAGATTAGTTATTTATTTTGATAAGAAATGTTCCTTTGATGAAAATTAGAGCTCATTCTTCAAAATCACTTTTATGTATCTACTGGTTCTATCAAGATAGTTACAGCAGTTTCCTTTTTTATATAAATTTATTATCTTAGCACTCTGAACAGTTACCTTTAATTCATATTTAATAATGTTTATACATTAAAGAATTTTCGATATTAAAGGAAACATTCATTTGCTAATGGTCTTTAAAGTAATGTGATGACACCTACCTAGCCTATTACAGTGTGGGTAATTTCCCTGAAGATCTGTTTTTTGTTTGCACTGTAACCATCATAATGATTAAAGTGGCCAAAGCATATTTTAGGCATATGTATGATAGTGTCTGTCTTCAGTATTTAGTATACTTTCTTAATTAAGTTTATTTCTTCCCTGGTAGATAAACTCTAAAAGTTCTTTATACATAAGGACTTTCTAAGGATAATTCTTAGCATAAGTTCTGTTTTCCAGCTATTTTATTCCTGGGATGAGTCTGTATCACAGAATCGTTAGGATGTTTAAAGATTCATAATTTCAATTATGGAGTATTTCTAGGTAAGATGCTCCCTTCTAAACAGTGGAATAGTTTTAAAATGAATGAGGCAAAAAACAAAACAAAACAAAAAACCTGACCCTGGTCATAAACCTGGAATAATTCCTTAACAGGACGATTCTGCTTAAGATAGCCCATATTTTAAAAAAAATTTTTTTTAATGTTTATTTTTGAGAGAGACAGAGACAGCACAGTCAAAAATAAATAATGTTTATTTTTGAGAGAGACAGAGGCAGTTACAGAGACAGTGAGTGGGTTAGGGGCAGAAGGAGAGGGAGACACAGAATCCGAAGCAGGCTCCAGGCTGTGAGCTGTCAGCACAGAGCCCGACGCAGGGCTCGAAATCAGGAGCTGTGAGATCATGACCTGAGCCGAAGTCGGACACTCAACCGACTGAGCCACCCAGGCGCCCCAAGATAGCCCATATTTTTAACATTCTTGAATTATGTTGAGTTTCTCCACGACTGCATACTTCTCATATTCACCTGTGTGTATATTCTTCATGATTGATGTAATTTAGACTCTGTAATTTTAGTCTGCATTGTAGTGCTTTTACTATATACCTCATTTCCAGATTTGTCTAATTTTTCCAAAAAGTCTTCCTGAATATCAGATGTTAGAATTTTAGAACTGGGTAGGACTTTGGCGATCATTTAAATTATCTCTATCGCAGAGAGATTAAGTGATTTGCCAATAACCAGAAAAGTCTCTTAGGTCTTAGGCCTCATTTCTCTGTCTCCTTTAATTATTCATCATTCTATTTCACAAAAATTACATTGGTAGTTGTGGATAGTATTCTGCCTTAAAAAAGATACTAGTATTCTTCATTAAATATGACAGTTCTGTCATCATCATGGCTTTTCGCTCATAAGTTTTTGTATTATTTTAAATTCAGTGTAAACCTCTAAATAGTACTCCTCATTTCTTGGAAATATTTCGAGAATTCTTTGGTCAGTAATGAGAATTTCCCTAACAAAGGAATTATTATTATTTTAACTCATCTAATCCTTTTATCTCTTGCTTTAAAAATAAAACAGAATGACTTCTGTATCATAATTGCATAATAAATTTTTTATTTTAACTCCTGTTCTTTTGAAATTTTTGCACTTACTGGTAAATACCATCTCTTGGATTTTCTCAGCTCTCTTTATTGTGATTTAATGTGTATGAGTTTTATTATGTGGTCTGTATTTACATATGTTCCAAATGTTTCTTAAGCATGCTTGATTTTATTAGGAGTAGTTCATCCAAAATTTACTTTGAAAATTCTTCTCTTATTATTCCTTTCCATTTTTAATTTTCTACAACATACATCAAATACTAGCATAAGTTACGTGCTGTATTAAATTTTATGTTGACTTATTCTTGGTCAGTACATTTAGTTTTATGATAGGCCCATATAACTTTAATATGGATAGAGAAGATATTTTCATCCTTTTGGTTTTTGAATAGAAGCTTCATTGTTTTCTAGTTGCACATGAATATTCAAATAGTGCCTTATTTTTTTTTCCCCCTTTGGGAATTCTTAGAAATACTTTCAGCCTGATTTAAGGTGAAATCATTTTTCAGAGAGAAATACGTAACTTTCTTTTTTGGTTGGCTTACTTAACCATAGCATAAAAACAGTTACAGTGTGGTTATATAGGAAAAGTAAAATAATTTTTCTACTTTGTATCAGCTGGAGAGCCTAGTCTGCATTTTATAGTTGTGTGATGATTATATTCTGAGGAGCAGTTACTAAAGATAAATTTGGCATTTTAATAAGGTTATGGACACCTTTTCTGATTCATGAGTAGATTCTTTCAATGCCTTCTTTAATGAATAATGGTTAAGCCAGATAATGTGCTTTTACTTTTTTCTGATGTTCTGGAAATATACTTTTATTTTGTCCGTATGAAAGTCATAACAGATGCCTTAAACCAAGAAAATTGGTACTGTCCTGACATATTCAAACATCATGTGTTATATAGGAAAGACAGTGACCCTCAGTAGGACTGATTTTTTTCTTTGCTTCTTTAGAATTTTATAAGTTCCACATCTCCCAATTATTCTTTTAGAGATCTACTAACTATAAATGTGGCAACATTGGTAGATTAAATGGAAATAGGGTTGATTAATCGTCATACAGCCCACTCCACAAAAAAAAAAAAAAAAAGAAAAAAAAGAAAAGGAAAGAAAATGTGTAGAGTAGGGTTGCCTAAACATGTAAAGGATACCATGCTTATGAACATCTATTAAATATCCCTTGTCATTGCTGATCAGACTTCTTTCAGATCTCTTCCTCTGTTCTGCTGTGTACTTAGAATTGTAAACTTAGACTTAAAATAATAGTGTTACATTTTGGGGAGCATTTATTATAATAGAGTAGATTTATAAAGTAGTTGCTTTTTTGTTTTCACTTTCATTTTTTGTGAAATTTGGAATGAACTGAGATAAAACATCTAACAATTGCCAAGGCAATTTGAATTGTCTTGAATTTTTTATATGAAATTCTGTCTAGAGGTAAACTTTTTCAAGTGGTTACTTGCTTATAATAGTTTGTGTAACTTTTTATTTGGTCAGAAAACATTGAAAAAGAAAGACCTGAACCCTGACACTTCTTTTTTTGTAGTCTTTCATTTTTGGCATATACTAAGATGTGTGTATCTCCTAATGCTTGTATGCTACTTAGGAGAAATCATTCTATTCTTTCTCTTTTTGAATAGTTTTAAGCAAGACTTGGAATCAGTTCCCTTTCTCTACTGTCTTATCCTCCAACCTTCTTCATAACCATTTTCTTCCTTGTATGGTAAATCTTTAAGTGTATTAGTCATTAGGTAAGTTTACCAATTTTCATATGATTAATTTTAAGAAAATTCTTATTTCTTTCCCATTATTACTACTATCCAAAACATTAATAAACACCAGTGGTCTCTTTCCTTCTTTTCAAAAAGCTGAAGAAAAACTAGCTTTCTTTTTGAGTCAGTCCCATTTGTGATATTATGTTAACTTCTTAGGCAGAGCCCTTTCTTTTAGAGTGATAGTTTCTCTTTTGACCACAATGCAAACTTTCCTTGAGAAATTAACTTTTCTTCTGAATTTTAATTTCACTTCCATTTTGGGTGAACTACACATCCATCCCTATGCCATATTTTTAACACTAAAGAAAGAAAATTACCATTTCTCTCTTCTCTAAGCATTTCCTGGAATATTGGGATAGTACTAGTACAATTCAGTTGTTCTAGATCAGTGGATACCGGAACAGAGAGGAGGTATTTCTTACCTGATAATGTGTGTGTGTTCCGATTCTGCTAATCCAGAAATCCAATCGCATTTGTTGAAAATCATCCTTAGTTGTTATTTGTTAGGGAGTCGACTCCCTATTTTAGTTGTTTTCTGAAATTCAGTCCCTAGATGTGCTTTAGATAGGGTAGAACTTTTACCTCTTTCAGAACACTGCTAAAGAAGTTTTCAACTGGAACATAGTCTGAAGAAGCACTGAGAGCAAAAAAAATTCAGAGTGGTGATTGGCCACCTCTGTTTGATTGACAGGTTGCAGGGAGAAACCCATTCGTTCTGGATTAATGGAACTGGAAAACAGAAAACAATTATCAGGTAAAAAAAACCTTTTCTTTAACCTTTGAAATTCACCATTTAAAAGATGAGTCAGACCATCAAGGGAATTTATTACCAAAAGGAAAAAATTTAGTGTCTTGTGAACAATAATCTCTGGCTACTACTTCCAAGAGTTAAGAAAAAATCGCTACAGTTACTACACATTGTCAGCCTTTGCTGAAAGGGCTTGATTAAATGCAGATAAGATGGAATGCAAGGTGCAATTACATTTTAAATGTGGCTTAAAGACATGAAGCAGAATTCTATGGGTGGGGGAGATTGATGTTTTATTTCTTGAATTGTGTCTGGTCTGTGTGTGCATAAAGAAAACACTTTGTTTTTCAAGGCTATTAATCTGGCACTTTTCATGAATATTCACAAATTTTGTTACTGTACTGTGTTATACTTAATCTTCACTTCATTGGGATGTATACTTTTACATATCTTTTACCATAAAATTTTAGTAACAGTAATGACCAGTCTTTTTATTTTAATGGTACCTTTCTGATTGTTGGTTAAATATATTTCAGATTGAAGGCCAAGGACATGGTGCAGTATTTGACTGCAAATGCTCTCCTGATGGTCAGCATTTTGCATGCACAGACTCTCATGGACATCTTCTAATTTTTGGTTTTGGCTCCAGTAGCAAATATGACAAGGTAGAGTATGATGATGATGATGATGATGATGATGATGATTATTATTATTCTTCTCTTTGTTTTTGTTTTTTTTTTTTTAATCTGTGGATGCTTAGGGGTTGTATTTCTTCTTCAGGGGTGGGTAAGCATCATTTATGCTTTAGGAATCATATTTTCAGTATTCTAGAGACTTAAGTTTCAGTGAACATAGCAGTTGTTAAATTCCTCTTCTCTGTAATAGACATTAGATAATATTTTATTCAGTCTATATTTCATAAAGAATAACTTTTTACTTAGGTTGCTAGAGCAATCTAGCTTGTAATTCTAAAGCTGAGCGTGAGAGAGGTTGTCCATAGAGAGACTCTGAAATTATGTAAAATGTTTTATCTATATGGATAAAATACATTTATTTACCTGGGGTAAAAATCTGTAGCTTTTATATGATTCCCAAAAATGTATGACCCACTGATGTAGCTAATATTTTTAAATACTAAAGAGCCTATTTAAGTTCATTGATTAAAAGACTTAAAAGTTGAATAGGTCATAGTTTAAGAAATACCAAATCAGTAAAATTGTGAAGTTACAGATGTGTCAGGCATGAGTTCATGTTAATAATTTTGTGTTAATTTAAAAAAAAAATTCTTTAGCGAAAATGCTTATTAACTCTTGGAAAATCTTGTCATGTTGATTTTTAGGTTAATATAAGTCACATGTACAGTATACTTAAGAGTTTTCTTAAATTGTATAAGTGATTGCATTAGAGTTTAATTCAAGAAATATATTCATTGAGTGATTTCCTCTTGCAAAATGCTAAAACAATTACTGTTTAATAATTTAAAAAATAAGATAATGCATGGTAGCTCTATGAAAGTAATAGTACCCCTGAATGATTTATACCTAGATTTTATTTTACCATTTAATTTGAAATTACACAACTTTAATTATGTTAGTGTTTTATGTATACAGTCTTTTCCTTGTTCCAGAGAAAATTGAGAGCAGCTGCTTTTCTGATCATAAAATTTAATGTAAAAATATAGTAAAGATTTCTTTACCATTAACTCAAGAATATTCTTTTATATTGTTGCTTAATACCATGATTTACATTAAAACATTGCCTTCCATTAGAAATTTATCAATGATAAGTTTTTGTTATCCTTGTCTTTTATGGGTCTTTTCTTTTTACAGATAGCAGATCAGATGTTCTTTCATAGTGATTATCGGCCCCTTATTCGTGATGCCAACAACTTTGTATTAGATGAACAGACTCAGCAAGCACCTCACCTCATGCCTCCTCCTTTTTTGGTTGATGTTGATGGTAACCCTCATCCATCAAGATATCAGAGATTAGTTCCTGGTCGTGAAAATTGTAGGGAGGAGCAACTCATCCCTCAAATGGGAGTAACTTCCTCAGGTAAATGCTCATTTTCATAGACTGCCAAATTTTCCATTTCTACTGATGTCCTGTAAAACTGCTAATTGGGTAAAATTTTGTTACTATTTTGAACAAATGAGAAGTAAAGTGATTTTTAAAAATTTCTCTTAAGTCTTTTGAATAATGCTTAAGTATGTACTACAAGATAACTAAAGAACATTGGAGAGCAATAATCTTGGTCATTTATTTATTTATTCAACAGCATATATTGAGAATCTTCTCTGTAACACCTCTAAACTGGTTTGCAGTAGTGAATTAAACAGACACAATCCTTGTTCTCCTGGAATAAAATTCATAAACACAGTTGTAAACAAATAGTTAAAACTTGTGATACATGTTCTTGAAGGGAATAATAGTATGAGGTGAAAGATTAAGACTAGATAGCCTGTTCATATCAAAGATTATTTTAAGAAGTGATCAACTTTTAACAATTTTAAGTAAGTTAGGGACAAAAGTGTTGAGATCTTATTAGTGAAGTAATGGAGAATAAAAGTAAAATTAGTTGAAGAATTGAAAGGAAGTTGAAATGGAAACAAGGTCTGCAGACCTTTCCTTTTGACAAAAAATGTGGGAATAATTAATGAAGTGAAAGTAATGGAGAGACCCTATAAAGAAGATTAAACCAATTTTCTAATATATGAATCTGTTATATTTTAGATTAGAAAAATGCTTATGAAAATATTTTAAGTTCTGAACGCTAGCATAATGGACAGAAGTTCTAAGTAGATGTAAAGGACACATATGGGATGTAATATATACTGAGTAACTTTGAAATAATGGATTTAGATTCTATTAAGGCTGCATCAAAAAACCCATCTCACTGTATTACAGAGAGCGCATCTCTAATTTTCCATTAAGGATTGGGCATGAAATTGCAATGAAGGTGAACATATTGGATAGGAAGGGCTACTCTTTAAAGTAGATATGCCCACTAAGGATGGAAGGTGAGGAGAAGCATTAGAAGAATAGTCCCTGCTGCTACTGGCAGTGAGTAGTACAATCCAGCAGGCCTGAATGTCTGAAATATGTGAAACTAAAATGTCTCATACATGGACATAGCACAAACTCAAAGAATCTAAGAACAGGTAGTATTTGAGAAATCTAGGCAAGTATTCAAATTAGAGAAGTCTCAATTATTAAAGAAGTCTTGATCATGGGACTGAAATTAAGATAAATGTCTTCAGTCTCTTGGAGGGGAACTGGCAAGAATCAAATCTTGCCCGGGTCTCAAAATAGGTACCTAGGCTGGGATTTCAGGCACAGAGAAATATTAAAATATCATTGCAACATGATTATCATGGTTACCACTTTTTTCTTCCATTTAACAGTTTGTATTGGGCTTTCATAAATAATATCATATATATATATATATATATATATATATATATATATATGGCATCCTTATTCTAAAAGTTGAGAAAATGAAAATTTAGTAACATGTCTTATTTAAGTTAAGTATATGGAACCACCGGGACTTTAAATCCAGCTCTGACTTTTAGTTCATTCTTTCTTCCATACTAAGCTACCCTTACAGTAAAAGAGTGTTCCTGTTCTTGACAGTAAGTTAGACACCAGGTATTAGTACAGGACCACAAGAGAACCCATAGCAATAATTATGGCTTCAACGTGAGTCATAGGATTAAGTGTTCTAGGTCACAAAATTCAAGGTAAACTTCATTTTTTTTCCATTATTTTAGACTTAACCTAGTGTAATATAGGACAGAAGGAAAATATTTTTAGCATCATTTGTAACTATATTTTTATTTGTAAATCTAAATCTGCAATAAAATTTATTGTGGAAATCCCTTAGAATTAGGTAAAAATAGATGGCTGTTATGATAATAAGTTGGCTTCAGTGCAGTTTATATTTATACTGTTAAATTTGTATTTGAGCAGTGCACTTTTTAAATATGCTGCTTCAGTTATAACTTGAGCTATCTGATTAGTCACTGATGTTCAGACATGAGACACTACCCAGCAGCCTAACAGGAAAGGAACATCCACAGGCATTTTAGCTTTTACCTCTACTTTTACCACTTTGTAGCTCTGTGACTTTGGGCAAGTTCATTTTATCCCATTGAATTTTACTTCTCTCATAAAATGAAATAACATTGTGTGCTTATTAACACATGTAATTTTCCCTTTCCTTATACCTTCCTTACTACTAATTCTTCATTTCAGAATGTCCTTTGTATATTCTGTTCCCAGCCCACTCTAGAAATCCATCTCTTATATACCCACACACCCAATACTAATTGCTCCTTTTTTCTCATGGCAATGTTTTCATGTATCTCAATACATTTTTTATCTATTCAGCAGGATTGAACATTCTTATATCCCTATTTAAAATTAGAATATTAAGGTAAATAAAGCAATCCATGCTTTTGAGGAACTATCTAGTGGGCTTCCTTTTTGTATTGGGCTTGAGGAAATGAAAGGATAGCAGCTAAGTGTTTCAGGGGTAGTCTGGAAAGATTTCACAGAGGAAGTATCATAGAGTTGCCATTTCAGTTGGTGCTTGAAGGATAAGTTAGTGTTTTTCAGATTTATACTTGAACTGGGAGTATTGTGGTTAAAATCTCCAAAGCATAAAGGTGTTTATCCTGTTAGGAGAGCAGAAGAGTCAAGTAGTCCCATATGACAGATACAGGTGAAAGTTGATGCTGGAAAATTATGGTGGGTTAAAACACACCAAGTTCCTACCTACCTGAGGCTTTGTTCCAATTCTTACTTTGTCTGGAGTGTTCATTTTCTTGCTC